AATTTCAATCAATTATGTATGTTGCGGGTTTTGGGAAATCCACCGTTTGCACTGGTCCACTTTGTTGGGCTCAGACTACATGCTGGTCTGCGACATGTTGTCTACGCGAGATTGCGTAGTTGAACAAAAAGAGAAGCAACTGATCGAAAACTCTCAAATTCTTCAACGTATTCATACTAGCGGAACATTCAAAAGGAGTTAATCGAAAGATTAGTTATTACCCACTCCCCTCCCCCCCGCCCCCGCCCCCACTCCGAGGAAGTGCAGACCGCCATTCATGATCTGGGTGGGTGGGGGGAAGAAATTGTATCTCTTAAATGTGCAGAATGGATTGTCAAACCTATTTTCGAGATGGGTTGTCGTACTCTTTGGTCTATTAACGCGGGCATAAGTCAGATTACAATAGCGCCGGTTTTTATTACGCAAAAGGCAAATCCGCACGCCATTTTCCGTGCATGCTGTGGTTGCACCGATCAAACCTTCATCCTTAGGCCTCCTGGATGTGGGCCCCGGGATCATTGTAATCAATGGTTAGGTACACTGCGCGATATGGCGCTTGTGCATCTTCTCAATTGCTTTGCAACCTCCATCTGATGGACTCCACTTTCAACTTTCCCATCTTTATTCTACCCCTTGATCCAAATGGGAAACCAAAAAACAGTAACCGAAACCATTGCACGCAAGTGCATAGTTAACGGTTGTACAAAGTGAACTGAGCTAAACTTCATCAGTTGTTGAAATACGGCCACATGTAAGCGACAAACCACTGTTGTGTTTCTCGACATTAGAACGGCTTTTGACTCAATTGATCATCCTGCTCGTGAAATTGTTTGCCGAGAGAAGTATCCGAGAATTGGGTTCTGATGCCAACAGAATTCTAGCGTCCGACCTCGAACAAACTGAGGAGTTGTGGTTTACATTCACCCATCTTTCCCATTACCAGTAAGATAATGTAGGGTAGCCTTATCCCTCCGTTTCTCCTCAACTTTACCACAGATGACGTCCAGCGTTACTTAAAATAACAAACGCTGTCGTGGAACTTCTTTTTGGAGACGGAGTTGTTAACCAGGACTACGCTAAGCATGGTCAGTCGCTTAAATGAGGGTCGAAATGGATTGGAAATTGAAATATAGCAAACAGAGGTGTATACAGGACAAAGAGGCCTCAGGACTTTGTGTGATACCGAAATGACCAAAGAATTCCACCTGATCTGTTACAGTGATTAGTTCGTTCATGTATGAACGACCTGTTCATCTACTGGGATACAGGGAAAACATGCATGGGTTTGATTGGATCCGTAAGTCACTGCATGAGATGGGTGCAAAATAGACAGGACAACCCAGTGACTGTCACTGACAAGCCTGCTGGAACACTTACGGGGATGGTGGTAATTTCGAGCACATTCTGCATCTGCACAGTCCCGTTGAGCAATGGGCTGAGCATCTGGAAACACCAGCTGTCAACAAGAAAAAGCCAAAAGAAAGTTTATCCGAAGAAATGCAACAGATAAAACAGTAAAAACAAACAGAGAAACAACCATATAAGAAGGAATCGCGCACGCATACACAGGCTCACTGGACCTCATAAATCTCCCACCAAAATGAATACGATTCCACATCCACAGTTTGATTGATGACAAAATATTGAAAATCGGTTCTCGTAGCTCGGGTGAACTGAATTCCATTTCGCCTAATCGCCGAGCTTGGCAATTCGTTTGCAAACGAATTGCCAAGCTCGGCGATTAGGCGAAATGGAGTTTGATTGATCTTTGATAATTGAACTTCTGTTACACTCGTGCGATATCCACCTATCTGTCAAAGACCGATTGTGTCGATCAATGCGCATGATGACAAGTATGTCTATATGAAAATCACATTGTACAAAACCGACTGAAAGAGTTTCTCCGGATAGCGGCTGAAGAACGAGAAGACAGCCGGCTACAGAAAGCCCACGGTAAAACCCTAGCAAATAGCATACCCACTACGGTGTTTACAAACAATTGCGGCTGGGGGAATAGTGCTTTCCGTGAACCGGATCTTCACAAACTTTCTCAACGCGTTAGGTTTGGTCTCACAAGAAAGTTGTGTTTACTTTCGAAGGCATTTAGCAGTTAGATGACCGTTCATTATTCCACCAAAATTGTGGTGGTATTCAGATGACCTTCTTGCCAGAAAACCTTCACAGGGATCAGATTCAAACTTTAAAAGAGGCTATCCTAACCCGAAGTTGTTTGCGGTAGAGAAGAAACGGCAGGGAACAACAACAACAACAGATCTCAATAGACCCATACGGATTAAATGAACAAATGCTGAGGGTCAATCAAAAACAACCACTGAATGGCACATTGCCCAAGGAACTCCAATCCTAACACGATCCAATTTATCAACCACTGAAAGTATTCGGCTTGCAAATGACTATTCCGTT